GGCGGCTGGGACCGTGATGGGAGAATGTCTTGTCTCCTCGGCAGCCTGCTGGGTGGGCTGGCCGGGCTAGCGCCAGGATGGCCGGGCTCCAGCCCCAGACCCAGCCTCTAGGCCAGGCCCTTCCCCACGTGCCGTCCTCCCCCAGCGGGTCTGAGTCGGGAGCCCCGCCCAGGCCCACCTGCCTGTCCCGGCTGGCCTTCCAGATGGAGCAGCTGGCCAACCCCAAGGCCTGGATCAACGCGGCCACCCAGATCTTCTTCTCGCTCGGCCTGGGCTTCGGCAGCCTGATCGCCTTCGCCAGCTACAACGAGCCCTCCAGCGACTGCCGGCGGCACGCCATTGTAGTGTCCCTTGTCAACAGCTCCACCTCCATATTCGCCAGCGTTGTCACCTTCTCCATCTATGGCTTCAAGGCCACCTTCAACTACGAGAGCTGCCTGAACAAGTGAGACTGGGCGCCCGGGGCCTGGGCCTCGCAGGGGACAGGGGATGGGTCTCAGAGCCTGAGCTGCAGGGCAGCTGGGAAGAGTAGACGCCCAGGAGGCGAGGGGGGCCGGAGAGTGCTGGCTGTGGGGTCCTCGACCCAGGCTCAGTCCCGGTTACCAGCAGCACCGCCAGCAGCAAGGGGCCCGGGCAAGTGCATGTCCACAGCAGGGCTGAGCGCGGTGAGCGTGTTCTGAGCGCGGAGGTGACAAGGCCTGCGGCACCCAAGCTGCTTCTGTGCCTCACCCCTGCCCGGCCCGGGAGCAGGGGCTTCCTCCCACTCCCTTTCTTGCTGTCTGTGTTGAACACGTGCACCCTCTGAGACTTTTTAAAAAGTAAATAATCCACATTTAAATAATTATTTTTTAAGAATTATTTAAGTGTATTTATTTCCTTGTTTATTTTCATTTGACCAGAGAAGGGCAGAGTGAGTGAGAGAGAAAGTGAGAAAGCAAGCCGCCAGGTCCAGGACTCGAACTATGGTTGGCCATGTGGAAATCCAGCGCCCTTAACCACCATGCCACCTGCCGGCCCCGGTAATTTAAATGCGGCATTTACTGTAGAGCAGTCCTACGGCTGCACTAGCTACACGTGAGTGCTCGGCTGCCACCCGGCTGGCGGGCAGCAAGCTGGACAGCCCGGCTGCGGGACGCTCCATCGTCACGGGGACTTCTGTCGCACCTCGCTGGTCCAGCGCTGAGGAGCGGCCCCTGTTGTCATCACTGCTCCATCTAAGACGCCCTCAAAGCCGTTCAGACCCCTGGACCCCGATAGGGACTAACTGATCCCTCTCTGCACCTAACCAGGGGGGTCTGGGGGACACACCTTTCTCCCTGGTCCCTCTGCAGGGTGATTCTGCTGCTGACCAATTCTTTCGACCTGGAAGATGGCTTTCTGACCACCAGCAACCTGGAGCAGGTGAAGGGCTACCTCGCGGCCACCTACCCGAGCAAGTACAGCCAGCTGTTCCCACAGATCAGGAACTGCAGCCTGGAGGCGGAGCTGGACACGGTAAGGGCCTGGTGAGGCCGCAGGCTGAGTTCTCTCCACACACTCAGGGAGCGTGGACCTCGGGATACCCTCCGGGGAGAGAGTGCAGCACTTCCCAGGAGCTGCACAAGGGCCTTGGGGGCTCGGGGCCCTTTCTTTTCCCTGTCTCTTTCTAAGTTTTAAGAATACAGGAAAGGGATCCTGCTGGGAAAGGCCACCAGGTTCCACAGCAGGCTACAGTTGGAGTCCCAGACCTAGAGCTTGAGAAGCACACCAGACACTGTGTACATGTGCCCAAACCGGAAAGGGAGGCGGCGTGGAGGGAAGGGACTGCAGTGCAGGCCTTCCCCAGGCAGGCTGCCGCCTCTCCCCGGCTGCCTCTCTCCAGCGAGTGCATGTACCCTCTAGCACAAGCAAAATCAAAAACAGGGAAGGGCCCAGCTGTGCAGGAGCAGGCTTTGGCTCACAGCTCTGCAATGCCAGAGCCATGTGGCCGATCAGGGTTCGGATCCCAGGTCAACCTGAACACACTGAGTGCGATCCTGGTTGGCTGCAGGGCTGCAGGGGATCTCGACCTGGCAGGATGCTGTGTGGCTGCCTGTCCCTCTCCCTCGCAAGAGAGAAATTAAAAAAAAAAAATTTAATATTGGAAAGTGCAAAGAATAATACAACACCCAAATATCCTCCTCTCAGAATGAGTAATGATAAACATTTTGTTATTTGGGGTTCAGATTTCTTTTTTAAAGAATTATTTTATTTAACTGTATTTACTTACATATTTATTTATTTTAATTTGACCAGAGAGGGACAGGGCAAGACAGAGAGGGAAAGTGACAAAGCAAGCCACCAGGTCCTGGACTCGAGTTGGCCATGTGGGAGTCCAGTGCCCTTAACCACCATGCCACCTGCCGGCCCCGAGGGGCTCAGACATTTCATAGAGAAGCAAGGGCCATTTCAGGGGCAGAGCTGAAGCTCTCTTCACTGCGGCCCAAGTTTTCTCTACTCACCAGAGGCAAACCTCAGTCTTTACATCTTAATAATCCACTTACATGTTCCTAACACCATTGTTTTATTGGTAGGTTTTCTTTTGAAGAGGTTTTAGCTACAGAGCACGTGCACTCGCCAGAAAGACAGAGAGAGACAGAGACAGAAAGTGAGAAATCACCCCCCAGGGGGGATGGCCACGCCGCAGTCCCTTCTCCTCCATTCTCCTCTCGGGATCTTGGGCACGCACGCACACGCGCCCGGCGTGAGTTTTAAGCCACCGGGTCCGGGACACGAACCGCGGTCGACTACGTGGGAGTCCAGCGACATAGCCATTACGCTAACTGCTGGTTCCCTAACGATTCAATTCTGAGATTTGTCTGTAAAATACATGTGGATTGTCATCCATTCCTTTAAGTGCTGCATTTTATTCCATCAAATATACTACAACTTATTTATCCATTTCCTTACTAATCGATGCGTGAGGGTTTTCTCCAAGCTTTTTGCTACTAAAATCACCCTTATTTATTTTAAATAATTAGAGGTGGTTGTGCTAGTCTAGGATCTTTTTTTTTTTTTTCATAGTAACTTTGGGGTCAGTTTGACAAGCATTGAGAAAAAACATCCCTTTGGAAATTTTTATGAGAATTTCATTGCTTCGGGGTCAGCATGGTGGTTGTGGCACTGGACTCCCACAGAGCTGACCACAGATCTGGCACTTGGCAGCTCGCTTTCTCAGTTTCCTCCTCCCTCTCTCTCTCTGTGTCTCTCTGTCAAATTAATTAAAATAAATAAATAATAAATATAATTAAATAGTTTAAAAAAAAGAATTGCATTGCTTTTGTAAGGTAATTTGGAGAAACTATCTTTTTTTGAATTGTAATTTTTTTATCCCAGAACATGTGTTTTTCTTTCAAGTCTTCTGGTATATCCTTCAACTAATTTTCCCCATGAATATATTGGCGCATCTTTTATTAGGTTTATTAACCGACTGTTTCCTTTCTACTGTGAATGGTATTCTTTTCTCCCCTATTTCGATCATTGTTTATTTTTGTTGCCAAAGAAAGCTGGCGTTTTTGCCCGCTGATCCCATATTGCGACCTGACAGCACTTCTTACTCGCTCCAGCTGCAGCGCGGCAGCAGTAACACAGGGGTTCTGCCCTGCACAGCGGGACGCCCCGTGGCCGCCACGTCCGTCCCTGGGTCGGTCTGCAAACATGCCCAGCGTGCGTGTGGGCACCCCGGATCCTATGGACCTGGGGGCTCGGGGGGACTGTGGTATGACGAGGTCCTGTCGAGGGTGTTCTTCATGCACACACACACATGTGTACATGCTCTGTCATAGAAGGGGGGAGGGATCTTATCTGCCTGCAGATTGGCTTTGGTTTACTGTAAACTGTCCTTTCACCCACCGATACAATTTTGCATTTTCCTTTCCATCGCTTGTATCTCATTCTTCTTCCCTTATTGCATCTGCTAGGACTTCTAGCATAATGGAAGTGTGTTTAATCCGTCTATTCAATGCAAATGCTCAGAGAGAATGTTTCTAGAGAGTGCTTTTCCAGAGCAGGGTGCAGGGGCCATGGAGTTGGTTTCCAGCAAGCTGCTCCGGGCTGGTACCCGTCCTTCCAGGGGTGGGGATTTGCTGGCACCCTGTTCCATGGCCAGGGCCGTTCTAGGTCATGTCATGGGTGAGAGACTCCTGGAGGTTCAGCCCAGCTCCCTGCTTCCACCAGCCCCTGCCTGGCCCTCGTCCGCCCTGGGCAGGGTCCAGAGCACTCCCCTACACCCCGCAGGGCCCAGCCCCACTCACATGACCATGAAGGCCATGTGACCTTCCTGGCTCCAGCTCGTCAGTGCCTGCTCTCTGGTTTCCGCTATGGCTTCGGCACGTGGGAACTTTCCTCCCTGCCGTGAAGCTTGGCTGTCTCCAAGAATATATAGTAACTAATTTATCTGGACGTTTCCTGGTGCCCGTTCTCTTCTCACTCTCTCATTTCACTTTATCCTCTGTCATTCAGATGTTTAATTCTCCTCCTGACATGTCCTCACACATGTTTATGAAAATACAAAGTTAGACAGTAAATACCCTGACTTCTCAACCCACGCAGGGTCTTCGGAACACCCTCATCTCATCACTGCTGTTTTAAATAGTATTCTTATTGAGTTTTTTTTTTTTTTTAAAGAGATTTTTGCTATAGGGTGTATGTGATTTCTAGAGAGACAGAAAGTGAGAAATCACCCCCTAGGGGGATGCCCATGCCACAGTCCCTTCTCCTCCATTCTCCTCTTGGGATTTTGGGCACAGACACACACACAAGATCCTGGTATGAGTTTTAAGCCACCAGATTCAGAACTCGAACCGTAGTCAACTCCATGGGAGTCCAGCAACGTAACCATTACGCCTTCTGCTGGTCCCGGAGTCCTGTCTTTTAAAACCCAGAGGACTCCCGTGTTGTTTTGCACAGTGTGTTTATCCGTGTGTCAGCTCTACGGCTACCACTTACTAGTGCACTTCTGGAATCCCAGCCGAAGCTTCTTTAAAATACCCTCCTTTAGATCAGGTTTCTTAGTAGTAAATCTTCTCATGTTTTGTTTGCATGTAAATGTCAGGTTTGGGCCCCTAATTTTCTAAGATATTTCTCCACCGAGAATAGAAAATTCCAAACTAACAGTTGTTTTCACTGAACTCTGCGATTTCGACTTCCAGTCTGACGCTGACATTTTCCATCCTTCCTAAGCAGGCAGGCTTCCTCTGACCTCTCGTGGTCTTCACTTGGTCTCTGACCTCTCTGTGAGTGTGTCTGTTTACCCACATCATCGGCTCGTGGGAGGCTGGCTTCCTGGATCCGTGCTTTGTAAAATCCACACCTACTACCTCTCAGTCGGCACCTCTGCCTCTCTCCTTTTTCTATCAGAACTTTGCTCAAACCCATGTCAGGCCTTCCCATCCTCCCTTACAGGTCTCTTAATCTCGCTTACATTTTGTCTTTTTTTTTTTTGCTTCATCATGGATTCATTCCTGGATATACCTTCCAGTTCGCCAATTCTCTCTTCAGCTGTATTTAGTCTGTTATTTAACTGTCAGTTGAGCCTTACAATTCAATAACTTCAATAACTTTTCTTTTAATTTTAGACACTGTTTTTTAGAGAATTATTTTATTTAACATCATTTATTTCATTTTAATTTGATGAGAGAGAGAAAGAGAAAGTGAGAAAGGAAGTCACCAGGTCCAGGACTTGAACCATGGTTGGCCATGTGGGAGTCCAGTGCCCTTAACCACCATGCCACCTGCAGGCCCCAGACACTAACTTTAAAAATGTACTTGTTCATTCCAATAGTTTCTTGTTACATGTTTATCTTTGTAATTTTATAATTTTTTAAAATAATTTTTTTATCATTTATTACTATTTTTCAATTTACTATAGGCATGCGTGCTCACCAGAAAGAGGCAGGGAGAAAGAGAGAGGGAAAGTGAGAAAGCAAGCTGCCAGGTCCAGGACTTGAACTGCAGTCAGCCATGTGGGAGTCCAACACCTTCACCACCACGCCACCTGCTGTCATTTGTGTTTTTAAGCGTTTCACGCGCAGTCTTTTGTGGTGACCGTGGGTGGGGCAGGAGCATGAGAGCAGCCCATGTAGTGGGGAGGAAAACGCTATGGCTGACCCTGTCGAATTTCTGGCTCTGATAGGCTGACGTGAGACAGCATGTCACCTCCGGGTAGGCTGTGTCGTTGAAGTCCCTCCAGGCGATCCCTCACTGCTGCCCTGTCAGGCTGCCCACTCCACTGTGCTCCACCGGATAGTCAGCTCGGGTGGCCGTGACAAAGTGCCCTAGACTGGGGGGCTTAAATGGTAGACTTTATTTCCCATGGTTCGAGCGGCTTCATCCGGTGGGGCTGGTCCTGGTGAGGGCCTGCTTCCTGGTTCATGGGACGGAGGGACCGCTCTCTGCCCCTCGCCTAGTAGGGCCACAGGCCAGTCAGACCCGGGCCCACGGTGTAAGCTCGTGGAACCCTAACTACCTCCAAGCCTCCAACTGCAGAAGCAGCCACATCTGGGGTTAGAGTTTCAGTATTTGTGTCCACCCAGTACCTGCCCCCTGGCAGGGTGCCCTCAAACTTTTCCTGCTGACTCTGACAGTGACTCAGAGACTTGTCTTCCAGCCTGGGGGTGGGGGTGGTGTCGGAGAAGTTATGATGCATTTTTGCATAGAAATAATACAACAAACCCAGTAAATCCCAGCATGTGAGCTCACTGTTCAGTCTCCAGGGGTCCCGTGGATCTAAACTGGGGACGCTCTCCCCGAGAGGGTTCCTTCTCCTGGTGGTAGCCAGTAGGCACCCCAACACATGACACCTTTCAACTCCCAGGAGCAGGGGTCCCAGGCTCAGCCCACCCTTCGACTTCCCCTGACAGCAGTCCTGCCCAGGGAGCTAGCCACTGAGCGGCCCTGCCCTCCTGGCTGCCGGCGGGCTCCTGCTGCCCTGCGCCACCGTCCCTCCTCAGCTCCCAGCCCCGGGTCTCAGAAAACCTCATCGCTCAGGACACTGGAAGCAGAAGCTGCCCGACACTGGCCTATCTTCTGTGCAGAATTTACTAGGCCGGGGATGGCCAGCGGAACGCAGCGTTCCAGGCCGAGATGGACTCCCCAGGGAGCCTGAGGGCAGGCCTGAGCTGGCGGCCCTGCTCCCCACGGCCCGCGGTGCTCCGGAGCGGCCGAGGCCCTGGGTGTGACTGGCGTGTCACCGGGGCAGGCGGTCCAGGGCACCGGCCTGGCCTTCATCGTCTACACGGAGGCCATCAAGAACATGGAGGTGTCGCAGCTGTGGTCGGTGCTGTACTTCTTCATGTTGCTGCTGCTGGGCGTCGGGAGCATGCTGGGGAACACGGCGGCCATCCTCACGCCCCTGACCGACAGCAAGGCCATCTCCAGCCGCCTGCCCAAGGAGGCGGTCTCAGGTCAGCGGCGGGGCAGGGACGGCGGGGATGGAGGGTGCGCGGGAGGGGCTGCAGCAGCCCTGGGTGGTCCTCCCACCCGAGGTCTGGGCTGAGGTCTGGGCCGCAGGGCTCCCCCTGTGCTCCGTGCCCCCCACCGTGGGGAAGGGTGGGCACCCCAACCTTGGGAAACTGTAGTCCCAGCCGGGCACCCTGGCTTTGTTTTCATTTGTGTCCCCGGAAGTGGGCCGGTGACTGAGGCAAGTCTGTTCGGTGCGAACACAATGACTCTCGGGTCTACACTCGCCCTGTGCACAGCGCATGGGTCAGGACTCAGCCCACTGCCCACGCCCCCGGGAGCTCCTGCCGCTTCCTCCCAGGCAGTTCGCACCCCGGGGAACCCCTAGGTCGGTATCTGTTTGAGGTTCCTGGATGCTGGCCTTCATCGGGGTGAAATCACACAGTACCCTCTCAGGCCAGCAGGTGGCGTAGCAGTTACGTCGCCGGACTCCCACACGGCCTGTGGTTCAGGTCCCAGACCCAGTGGGGGTCTCTGCGTGTGTGTCCACAATCCCAGGAGAACAGAGAGGGGGTTGCAGAGGCATAACCCCTGGGGGAGGGTGACTTCTCGCTTTCTCTGTCTCTCTGGCAAGCACCTGTACCCCATAATGAAAATCTCTCCTAAACAAGACAGAAAAACACAGAGCATTCTCTGGGTGGCTGCTGCCTCCACTCCGACCCAGTCTGGGGTCCACGTGGTGTCACGGCAGCTGCGGCTCCCCCAGGGCGTGTGAGACCCCCCACCTCAGCGCCTTAATCCATCCTGCTGGACACCCACACCGCTCCCCACACTGCTCCGGGCACGGACGGTGTCCCGAGGACCCCACGGCCTCCTGCCTACGCCACTGCCCTCCCGGGCACCCCCCATCCAGGACGGAGCACCCCAGCTGCTCCTCTCCTTCCGGCCCCGCCCACCTGGCCCTGGGCACCCTGCGCTCCCCTCGGCCTCCCCGACGGGCCCTAATTCCGGCCCTTCCTGCAGCGCCCACAGTGGCGGTCAGTGGGGACGGGGGCTGAAGGGCCAGTGTCTGACCTGACCCTGCCCTGATGTTCTCACCCCCGGGCCTGGACGTCCCCAGCTGGGACGGGGTCCCCTGTCCCTGCTCAGAGGCCCGTGGGGCCAGGTCCAGGTACTTCCCAGATGACCCCTCAGCTCGGGGCACCTTCCTTTCTTCCCCTCCACCCGCCCCTTCTGGCTGGACAGCCCTCTCTAGAGGCCCTTCGGGGACACCCCAGTTAAGGCCCTCCCCTCACTTCCCCGAGCTTGGGCCGAGGGGGATGAACGGCACCCCCAGCCCCCACCCCACGTGTGAGAGGCTGAGCCGGCAGCCCCGCAGCTCCATGTCCGCCGTGGGGCCCCCTGCTGACAGCGCCCGGACCCCCGCATGCACACACAGAGGGCAGCTGGGCCCACCTCAGGCTGCCCCGCGCCGCGCCCTGCAGGGCAGAGGAGGCCCGGGCCCACTGCCCCCCGCCGCAGGTCTGCTGTGCCTGGTCAGCTGCGCCGTGGGCATGCTGTTCACCGTGGAGGCCGGCAACTACTGGTTCGACATCTTCAACGACTACGCCGCCACGCTGTCACTGCTGCTCATCGTGCTGGTGGAGACGGTGGCTGTGTGCTACGTGTACGGGCTGCGCAGGTAGGGCCGCCCAGGGAGGGTCGTCCAGGGAGGGTCGTCCAGGGAGGGCCGTCCAGGGAGGGCCGTACAGGTGAGGGCTGTCCAGGGAGGGTCGTCCAGGTG